TCGCTCCAAGGTGGGGGGTTGCTGTCGCCAGGCCTCGGGAGGGGGGGGGATGGTTGTGTTTGCACTTTTGCCGTATGTGTGTGCGCAGGGAGGACGCCCCCCGGTAGCAAGGGGGGGGGGGGCAGGCACGGTCCCGCGCGCCGGTCTCGGCGCTCGACCTTTTCCTCGTGCTCGCTGCCTCCGCCCGGGGGCGGCCGCTGCCACCCTGCTAGCCAGCTGCGAGGAGAGGCGAAAGACCCGTTCGCTCGCATGTTTGCTCCCTACACTGCACGCCTTCTCCGCCTGAAAAGAGGGCCATTCCCGCGTCGGGGGCAGAGGGAGGATGGGGCCGGGGGAGGCACATCGCGACGGGCCAGGGCAGACCGGCATGCAGTCGGCTGGGCGTATGGGTCTGGCGTCGGCCTGGCGGGCCGGGGGCAGGCGCCGTCGGTTGTGGCTCAGATTAGCGGCGCCGTTTTCGCGGACCCCCGCTGTCTCTCTTGCGAACATGGCCATGTCGCTGGGCACTGGACACCCGGGCCCGAGGTGTGAAGCCTTCTCTCGGGCGTCCCGCCGGCCGTGGCGCTCATCCGCCGAAAAGACAGTCTATGCCACCCATGGCCGGGGAGGCGGCGCTGTTCCACACTTTGGGCTTCGTGTGGCGGCTGTCCTGTGCGCTCGAAAACGCTCCCGACAATGGGCCGGAGGGCCTTTTTTTTTTTTTTTAGACGGCGCGGCCCACAAGAGATCAGACTGCCTCCTGTATATAATCCAGACATCCAGAACTGAAACAATGGATCATGTGGACACATCAGTCGAGCCTCCAACGGATGTGGCCTTCCTCGTCCGGCCCCCATGTTCCCCGGCTCTCTCCCTCGCCCCGCCAAGACCCCCCTGCGCGCGCTCTGCAGGGGAACCACGTTTGGCCCAAACCAGCCGCCCTCCTCCCCGTTGGAGGGCGCCCATGCTCTGATCGGGGCGCGGCCACAGATGCCTCTGGTAACCCCACGCTGGCTCGGAGCTCGTTGGCAGGTCCTTGTTGTTCCCTGCCCCTTCCACGTTTGATGAGATTGCGCCGCCTGGTGCTTTCTCCTCCGGAGTGTAGCCTCATAGCCCCCCCCCTCCTCCCCCTTCCCGTTCCCTCCCTCGCCGCCCCCTCCTCCCCCCTTTCCCCCTCCTCTTCCCCCACGCCCTCCCCCCACACTCCTGGAGGCACAACCGCCATGATTTCCTCCAGAGTCCGGACACTTGTTTCCTCCCTTGGGCCTCAGGCTCTCCGCACCGGCACCGGCACCGGCACCAGCACCGGCACCGGCACCTGGCGGCCTCTCCTTGCGAGGTACTCCTCAGCCGCCGAGCCCGCCGCGCCGGATGCCCCCCCCGCAGTTCCGCCTGTCCTCCCTCTGGCCACCATCCGCGAGGTGTTGGCAGCCAAAGCCCTCGCTGGTCCTTCCCCTGCTGAGGCCCCCTCGGGTGAGCAGCAGCCGGTACATGTCGGCGGCTGGGTGCAGACCGTTCGCCGGATGAAGCGCGACTTGTTCCTGGAGCTGAGCGACGGCTCCACCGCCAAGGGCATCCAGGTGATCCTTCCGCGCGACTCGGTCGCCTTCTCACAGCTACTTGACCAGGCGGCTGCTCTGGGGGTGGCTGACATGTCGGATACCTCGGCTGACGGGCTGGCTACCGGCGTGTCGCTGGAGGTCCGCGGTCGGCTGACCCCTTCGCCGGGGAAGAACCAGACCTTTGAGCTGCTGGCCGACGGTGTGAACATCCTCGGCTTGGCTCGCTCGGTGCGCATACCATGCCTCCTCCCTTTCCACCCTACTATGCTCGGCCCCCTACACACACACACACACACACACACACACACACACACACACACACACACACACACACACACACACACACACATTCCCTCTGGCCAACTCCTCACCCGAAACTGCTTGCCTCCCGGATCATGGGATTCATGTGCCATCTTCCTGCTCTTGTAGACCTTCCCTTTGCAGAAGAAGTTCCACCGACCGGAGTTCCTGCGCGATATCTCGCACCTGAGGCCGAAGACACGCAATTTCGGCTCGGTTCTGCGTGTTCGCGACGCCTCCTCCAAGTCCATGCACCACATCCTCGACGTGCGTCCTCCCCCCCCCCCCCCCCCCCCCAACCCTTGCCTTCACCCTAAATTCACCCCCCGCCCGCGCACACCACCTTCAGAATCTGGGCTTCGTGCACATCCACACGCCGATTCTCACCACCAACGACTGCGAGGGTGCCGGGGAGACTTTCGAAGTTAAGGGGCCAATCTTCGATGGGGATGGCGCCAGCACCACCGCTACCAGCCCCGATGGACAGCAGCATTACTTCGGCAGCCCGTCCTACCTGACGGTCAGTGGCCAGCTCCAGGTGCGAGCCCAACCGGCCATCCTACGGATGCCTCCTGTCTCTATGCCTCTTTCTCTCTGCCCCCCCCCCCCTCTCTCTCTCTCCCCTCCTCCTGACAGCTTGCAACCGATCCCACCTCTCGAAGCTGGAGGCCGCCGCTTGTGGCCTGTCCCGGGTCTACACCTTTGGGCCAACCTTCCGCGCGGAAAACTCCCACACCTCGCGGCACCTGAGCGAGTTTTGGATGCTCGAAGCCGAGGTGGCATTCATCCGCTCGATCCAGGACATTGTCGGCCTAACATCGACCCTTTTCCGGTCGAATATCGCCGCGATTTTGTCCCGATGCCCGGAGGATCTGGTACGCATGCCTTTGGTGTTGGATTCATTTTTCCTTCCATCTCTCCGTCCTTCCGTCTGCTTCTCGCGCCCGCTCTTCCACTCTACGTCCAGACTCTGACCTGTTGTTTGAAGGAGCACCTTGAGAAGAACTCCCCCGGGTTGGGCGAGCGTCTGGCAGGCTTTGTCGGCTCGGGACCCCCCGATGGCCCGAACCCCTTCCCGGTGATCACCTACACCGAGGCCATCGACATCCTGGAGCGCGAGGCTCGCGGGGCGACGTCCTTCCTGGTTGGCCATGCTGGCTCAGATGCCGAGGGAGCCACCCACACCGCGCCGGCCCTTCCCCCCCTGGCTTGGGGCGACAACCTCTCTTCGGACCATGAGCGCTTCCTGTGCGAGCGGGTGTTCGCCGGACAGCCGGTCTATGTGGTGGACTACCCCCAGGCGCTGAAGCCTTTCTATATGCGGCAAAATGATCATGCCGACCCGGCCCGGCCAACCGTGGCTGCCATGGACATGCTGGTCCCCGGGGTGGGTGAGCTGATTGGCGGGTCAGTCCGTGAGGAGCGCCTCGACCGCCTGGAGCAGGCCATCGCCGGGGCCGGTCTTTGTCCGGAGGCCTATGCCTGGTACACGGACCTTCGCCGGTATGGCACTGTGCCGCACGGTGGCTTTGGCATCGGCTTCGAGCGTTTGATCATGGTCCTCACCGGGATGACCAACATTCGCGATGCCATCCCCTTCCCCCGGTACCCGGGCCGGTGCCAGCTGTGATGGTGGCGCACGGCATCCCCCTTCCCTCCCCCCCCCCCCCCCCGGCCTGCCCTTCGCTGTGCTGCGGGCACAAGGGCCTGGCTGGTGATATTCGCACGTGTCGGTGGCCATACACCACACCCCAGATTGAAATAGAGATACCCCATGCGGAGGGAAGCCGGACGGAAGGACGAGCGGGAAAGGGAGGAGAGGGGCCGGGAAAAGGGGGGAATGGTACGTAGCTTCGAGGTAACTTTATTAAATACCGGAGGGCGGTACGGTGGGGGGGAGAGGGAGTGACGTGTAGGGGAACAAGGACAAGAGGTGCTAGACGGGGAGGGGGGGGGGGAGGGAGGAGGCCGGCAGGCACTTTTAGATATCCTCGTCAATCTTGGGGGCGAGGTAGAAGCGGAGGTGGCCCATGTCGGCGATGCGGAACTCCACCAGGAGGGGGACATCCTTGGAGAAGGAGAGGGTGACGGTGGGAGACAGAGGGGCAGCCTTGGAGAAGAGGCTCAGGTAGCGCAGGGCAAAGGTGAGAGAGACGGCCTGCTGGAGGTCGACGGTGACGGCGTCGTCCTCCTGCATACATGCCGGCGGGGATGATGGAAGAACAAAGGGGGGGGGAGAGGGAAAACGGGGAGGTGAGAAAGATTGGGCGCTGTGGTGGGACAGGGGAAGTGCGGCAGGGCAGGCAAGCAAGCAGAACGCACGGAGTCAACAGCAGAGGACTGCTTCAGGCGGACGCTACCGCTGCCGATCTCGCCGTTGGCCGAAAACTTGACACCATCCTTGGAGCAGGCAATGGTAACTGAGGGAGAGGGGGGGAGGAGGGGAAATGCAGGTGGGGCAGGCGAGTGAGAGGGAGTGAGACACGGAGAGAGAGAGAGAGAGGGGGGGGGAGGGGGAACAGGAGGGGAGGGAGCGGACGGGAGGACGCGCGTACCGGAGTCGCCGAGAATCTGCATGTCACGAACAATGCGCTGGAACTCAGCCGACGGCATGCGCACAACCGCGTCGTACTGGGTGTCGGGAATGACGAGCTGCTCGTTGTCGATGTCGACCAGCTTGAGGTCGAACTCGGACAGGCGGTCGCTGCCTGCGAGCAGGGGGGGAGGGGGGGGGGCAGAAGGCACAGGGAGGAAGGCGGGTCAGGAGAGCGGACATGCAGCAGTAGCAGCAGGAGGGGGCTGGAGACGGAGAGGAGGGGGGCGAGTCGATGCAAACGCACTGGGGCTCTCGAAGATGAGGATGGCACTGTCGCCGTCGTCCTCGGCACGGATGGTAATGATGTCATCGTTGCTGGAGCACTTGAGAACGCTGGCCAGGGTGCGGAGGTTGATGCCGAGGGTGCGGTTGCGGTCGCACTGGTACGGGTCGAAACCGTCGGCGCGCATCAGCAGGCTGACCAGCGACACGTGGCTGCTGTCCATCGCCTGGAGCGACAGGCCAGAGGGCTTGCACTCGAAGTTGGCGTCAGTGACCAGCTCGCGCACGGCCTCAATGAGCTTCTTCAGGATCTGACCCTGGGGGAGACGAGCCTCAAACATGGTGGAATGCGGTGGGAAGGGGCTGTGCGAAAAGGGTCAGAGAGGGGGGCAGGGGAGGGGGAAGAGTCTGCACGTGTGGGCGCGTGGGGATGCGAATAGAAAGACAGATAGAGGGAGTGGTGGGTGGATGGCTGTAGGGGAGAGTGGAGTAGGGGGGCGCCGTCGTACAAAGGGGAGGGAAAAAAAACACAAGGCGGGATGCCCAACGGCTCGGGCCAAGAAAGTACACCCCGCAGGCCGAAAAGGTGATCCACCCGTAGCATTTGGCCACTTTTCCTGCCTTCTGCGCTCTTCCTGCTCCCAAAGCCGGGGAGCCAAACGCCCCCCGCCTACCCGTCCCCGCCCGTCCACACATGTCTAGAGGGGGGGGGGGGGGGGGGGGGGGGGGGGGGGGGGGGGGGGGGCAAGGACCACAGAATGCTGAAGAAAGGCCGAACACCAGGCCAGCCGGGTTTCCCGTGGCAGAGCTGGCATCAAAGACACCCATGCCGGGGGACGCTCGCCTCATCAGATGCGAACCGTGGGCGGCGGCGACGGTTTTTTCCCCGCCAACGCAATAGCTCGGCGCGGTACCTGGGTCTTCGACCACAGAAGGGGCCAAGCGCCGCCCTCCCCTGCTGGGCGTCAAGGAGTGGAGCAGTGGCTGAGGCGGTCGGCGCGGCGCGGCGGCGGCAGCGACGGTGGCAGCGACGGTGGCAACAGTGGCCACGACGTTTGCCAGACAGACGGGGGGCGCGCCACCGGGATCTCGGCCATCTCGCGCAGCCTCAGGCACAGGTCGTGTCAGGGGCAGCCATTTGAATTTAACGGTCAAGAACACAAGCCAATGGACATGTGTTTGAAGCATTGATCACGTACTGGAACGTCATTCTTTGGGGGTTTACCCTCCCTTCGTGGGGTCCTTTGGTTGGCAATTTCATTCACCGGCGTTGGGCCCTGCCATGATGGTCGCCGGGCCCCATCAGTCCGGGCCCGAAACACGCCTTCAGCCGAGTGTTGCGGACTCAATGCTGTTTGGTCCCCGCCTGGGGGAGGTGCCTGCACTTGAACACCAATAGGGTCGAGTGATCCCCCCGTGCCGCTGTTCATCCCGTCCTTGCCGGGAGTCCTGGAAGACGCTCTGGCCGCCGGTAGGGCGGAGGACCGCAATCCCGACCGCCTGGAGGGTCGCTCCTTGCACGGGCCCCCGCGCCCCTGGCCGCGGACTGCCTGGCATGATCCACCCCTCTTTACTGGCGGAAGGGACCTTTGCCCTTGTTTTCAGCCCCCGCGCGACTCCCTGAGCGTCCCGCGAACCAGCGCCATCTGGAGCCCTGTCTCTTCTCCTCCCCCCCTCCCTCCCCGTCCCCGTCTCCCAACACCCCACCTCGCCAGCCAGCCAGCCCCCTCCCCTTCGCCCTCCTCCTCCTCCTCCTCCTCCCTGCCTCTTGCCTCGCCGTTCCCCTCCTCCTCCGCGTCTCTCCCCCCCCACTCGCGCATGGTGTCCTGCTTGTCGGATTGCCCTCGCCCCTTCCCGCGCCTC